TCATCCTTTTTTTTTGGTAAATCATTGACATGGTTTACTAGATACTGCTTTTAATTCCATCATTTTCTTTTCTTTTTATTCTTGTCTGTATGTATTCTTCAAATTCTTTCCATGTATTTATTTATTTATTTATTTATTTATTTTTAAAGAGAGAGAGAGAGGGAGAGAATTTTAATATTTATTTTTTTTTTTAGTTTTTGGCAGACACAACATCTTTGTTTGTATGTGGTGCTGAGGATCGAACCCAGGCCACATGCATGCCAGGCGAGCGTGCTATGGCTTGAGCCACATCCCCAGCCCAACATTTATTTTAGTCATCATTTTTATTTATAAAAATTAATAATATTGTTTATAAAATCCAAAAATACATGGGGTCTTTAGTTGATTTTTTATTATATTTTTCATGTTGTTGATATTTTTATTATCATAATAAAGGTCCTTATTTTATAAAGGTAATTACATCGGATAGATTTATCCTAGAATCACTTTTTATTTTAATATAACTAAATATTTTCCTAGAATTGTTTATTTTAATGATGGTCACCTACTCCTAATAAAAATAATGGAAATCTCTTTAGAGTCACAATTGATAGTTTTAGTGGTGGCACTTATAGCAATAAGTCCTATAGTAGTCCCTTATCCAAAAACTTGAACATAAGTATATAGCATCATAAATATCACAGCAGTAAAAACCCAGAGCTATTGACATTTTCCTCCTTCTAAAAAGAATATAATAGGTTGAACAAGAGAAAAATATTCTTAAATAAAAAAAATAATGAAATGTCAATGTAAGAAAAATCAGAGAAGTAAGACCAAGATAATTCCTAACACTATCAATTAGCTAATGTCAGTTTTTTTCTGATGCCAACTATCCTTCATTCCCTTGGTTTATTTGAGCTATCTTTCTATATATGAACAATATACTTATTTAATTTAGTCTGTGCCAGACAATGTTCAAGCTTCAGGACATATGTCCCTCCCTTCATGATCCTCCTTTTCCAAAAACATGAACAATTACTTGAAATGTGGATTTTTCCAAATTTCAAGTAATATATTGTAATATCGTAATAGTGATAGAAATTAGATTTTGAATGCTCTCATTAAAAAAAATGATAGGCATGTTAGATGACCAGAGTGAATGAGTTTAATTATTGCACTCATTTCACAACATGTGTGTCTCAAATATCATGTTGCTTGCCCTAAAAATATACAGTTATATTTGCCAATAATTTTAGTATACTTTATATACAGTAAAATGCTTAGTGCTTATGCAAAACTTTTGAAAAATGAGGTTTGTGGTATCTTTGCTCTCAGTGAAGAATATATCCATGACCATAAAGTATTCTCCACTTGCTATTTAAGTGACAGTATAATATACCCCAGGCCAAAAGTGCTAAGATTTACATAACCAGAGATTTGTTATATAACCAGAGATTTATTGTTGAACTTCATATAAATGGAATAATGTAATATGTTTATGTCTGGTTGATGCTATTGAAATTCATCAATTTTAATGTGTGGTATTGGTGTTTCATTGAAACGTATTGCTGAATAGTATTTATTCTGTTATATAAATGAACTGCAATTTTTCTTTTTATCTGTTGGCACAGTTGAATATTCCCATTTTATATGAATTAGTCTATCAATAACTATGCATGTATACTTATTTTGATAAACATGTTTTCGTTCATTTGGGGTGAGTATCTAGGAGATCATTATTGGAATCTCTGGTAGTAATGTATTGAAGTATATTTCAAAATCTAAATTGTTTTCTAAAGTTGAGTACCACTGAATGTACCAGTTGTCAATAGAAATTTCAGAAACTGAAATGAGAGTGCATAATTGATATAATCTTGTTACTTTCTAACTGGTAATGAAGTATTTTAATTGTGCCTCAAGTGGTTGAGGAGTAACAGATAATTGTTATTCTAGTTTTATTTTCCTAATAACTAAGATGTTTGGACTTTTAATGTATTTTTATACTAATGATATTAATATCAATGTCCATCCTGTGAGGTATATTTTCAGATATCTTCCCCATTTTGCTATTGACTTACAAGGAATGCCTACATATATCCTTGATCATATTGAATTACTTGGACTTCCTTTTTTAATTAAATCAGGTTTATTTTTAACTGACCCATAAAAACATAAAAGCACGAATATTTATGGGGTGCCAAGTAATGTTTCAATGCGTGTAATCACTATTTAATGTTAATTCAGGTTAAACATATCTATTTTCTCAAACATTTATCATTACTTTTGGTGAAGAATTATTTGGACCTCTTGGTGTAAAAGCTATGTCGGTTGGCAGTGTTATTTCTCAATTACTAATGATTATAATTATTAAGAGAATATTTGTTTTGTGGCTCTTTGGGGGAGTGCTGGTGATCTGTGAGACCTGGAATATTATAAACATTCTGTGGAAAAGAATGCTTTATCATGGCTTTACCACGAGGCCATGGCTGTTGTTACATACCTAGTATTACAATCTTGCACTTTTATCCTTATACTGTAGAAATGGTGTCAGTATACTTTCTTGAAAAAAAATTTTAAAAAATGCTGCTTGGAAACAAGTCTAAATGAAGAGCACTTTTACAAGATCAAATGGTCAAGTGTGTGCAGTGTAATATAAAATAAAACTTACCCTTGATAATAACACCAATCATAACATGGTATATGTGTTTGATAAGATTATATAATGGAATTTTGTATTACTGCTGTTCAGTTCAATTTATCTTTTAAATAATGCAAACTATAGTACAGGGAAGAGAGAAATAAATAAAATGAGAGCATTTTTATGTAGGTTGGCAGCATGGGTCAGAGATAACCATAACTTGAGTCATTTTCTGATTCAATTCCATGCAAATTTCACTTTGAATATTACAGTAGATTGAAACAAGCATGATTTGGAAAATGCATATACTTTAATTTAAAAAAAAATGCCTACTCAAACAACAAAGGGAATATTGAGATGTAAAAAAGCCATTTATTTGTTGAATGAGAACATACAATGTGAATGATACTGTTTGTTAGCACAGAGTCTGTGAACCTGTATAAACAATCTTATAAAAAATACAAAATAGGCATGGAACCAAATAAAATTAACCCTTTCGTGTATCAATTTATTTTAATGTGCATTGTCAAAGCCACAGATTTTTCAAAATAAGGATGCCATTCCAGTAGATGATGAGAAAATCTAACCTGAGGTTGCTAATTTTAAATCAGCTTTTTTTTTAATCATGCAGGAGACTATCATAAGGCAAATTTTGGTATAGTGTGAAGATCTCTGTAGAGGGTAAATAATTATGTGCAGTTTTGAATGAGCACCTAATCAAGAATCTTCCAAAATGGCCACTGTATCATTGATATATAAAATATTAACTTAATTTTAATGACAACCTGTTCTGAGATAGCTCCCTATGTGCAGGGCACCCTGAATAGCTAGGAATGAGGAATGGAACTGAAGGAATGCCAAGTAAAGAATAAAGACATAGGTCATTGTTAAGTAGAGGATTAAATCAGTGAGTTAATGTGAAACCAAGGTGATACTAGTAGTGGACAACAGTGTTGGGATTGCATAACATGTTTGTCCTGCGCATTAATGGTTCTGATGGTAGAAAAGTGTAGTACAAAGACAGAAATATTTTTGCAGAGTAGAGGGTCTTTGAGGATCTTTTAAGCTGTGTCCTTAAAAATGTCAAAGACCAATGTTGCCACTTACCTTCCTGAGGGTCTGCTTTGGCTTTCCAGTTTTAATCCTGACAAGATGCTCCAGAATGGATTTAAATGATGTTTTTCACCCATGAGACTCATTTTTTTAAATGTTAATCTAATTCAAACATAAACTAATTAGACCTCTTTATCTGAGGCAGAGTGTCTTGCACCTGTGTTAATTATTCTCAGAATATTCCATTAGGAAGAAGAAACAAACATGTCATGCCTCATTCTAATTGAATAAAAGTTTGTGTTCTCACTAAATCCTGTAAATCATAAGCATGCCTTTGTCAGAATTTCATTGTCACAATGTCATGTACATATTAGGTACATAACACACACAAGAGCATAATTCATAAGTGAATAAAACAATGACTTTCTAGAAAAGATGGGGTAGTATTTGGTCATGCAACACCCACAGACAACTAATATTTTTGCTGAATACAGAATATTGCCAGATATATAAATATAAGTTGGCATAAGACAACACATTATGACTTGTATTATTTCTTCCAAAAAATTAGTAGTAAATAATTTCTTAATATGTTCATATGAATCTTATATCTTGATTGTTTTTAAACATTGCTCTTCATCACTTGTTTCCAGAAATTTGATTGTGATGCACATTGGTGTCATTTGTTTCTGTTTAGCCTTCTTGGAACTATTTTAGCCATTTATATCTCTGGTATTATGATTTAAAGGTAGTTTGGTAAGGAAATCCCCACCAACATTTCTTCCCATGTTTTTTTTTTTCCTACCCTATCTATACTCTTTTTTCACTTGAACCTACGATTATACATCATTAGGTAACATATGCCTATTCTAAAAAAAAAACACTGAGATTATTTTCTTGGTTCAGTTCAGAATTTTGTTTTCTTTCTGTCTTCATTTTAGGTAGATTAATGACTCATTTAAGTTGACATCTTTTGTTTTTTCTGCATATAATCACTTGTTTATAATATTGTGATTTTTGGTTTTTGAAGTTCAGTTTTGGAATCCTAATTTTTTTCCTCATGATACTAATGCTTTTGTTAAAGTATAAAGCACCTTGAATCACACAGTGATTATCTGAATGAACTTGCTGCTGCTTCTATCATCACTGTCATTTCAAGTTCTATTTTAATTGTCTCCTAGGTAGAGTCTCATCTTGTATCATCCTTATAAATCTAGTATTTCTTATTAGATGCTGAATATTTTAAATTTTATGCTAATTTTGTTTTTTTTTACTTAAAGGTGTTAAATTCTTTAAACAAGAATCAATTGTGTCTACTTGAGACTTATTTTCAAGTTCTTAGAAATGTGCAAAGCAGCTTTAAACTCTGAGACTGCTACTATATGTCCAGGTGTTGGAAAACAAGCCCATCTGGTTATACTGTTATGCTGATACTGAGACCCTCAAATAACTCTCAGACCACAAACTGCCATTCCAAATAAGCCTTTATTCATGGCCAGAGGCTGACTCTCTACTGTCTAAAAGTGAGATAGTCAGAGTGATGCACCACCTTCAGTTTGGCCGCATATTTAAGCCAAAAAAAAAAAAACACAAAAGGGACATTAGGGGGTTTAGCCAATGCAAGCAAGTCAAGTTACAGATGCTGGAGATTGTAGTCAGGTAGCAGGAGGCTTAGCCAATCAAAATAAACCCAGTTTCCCTAGTTACAGAAACAGGAGATTGCAGTTAGATAGTTCCATTTTCTTGAGGGTATCCACAACAAAAGGAAAAATAACTTGCTCCAATCATGACCTTTCTACTTGGCATGGCTGTTTCATAAAATAAAGTTACTAAACAAAATGGAGTCACTGTAGTCAAGACTTCTGTCTCATCACAATACAGAACTTGCATTTCTTCCTGCCCTATATCATATCTAGGAATTGAGTAGCTTACAGTATCCTGGTCAAACTTCTTGTGGACAAACACTTGTGGCCATCCAGTGGTGACATGTGCAACTCAGAATTCAACCACAAACTCATGGGAAACTAATGTGGAGGAAAATATTCGTGACAATAATGCATTTTGACATAGGAAACAGGGAGCAATATGACAGAAATATGTTCTCATTATCTGCAATTAATTTTAGTATAAAATATTAAATTATCTGATTAAAGAACAGAAATTGGCACGATGTTCTAAGTGCATGCTGTCTGCAGGACACTTACCTTATTATTTTAGGTTCAGAATATACAAGGAAAACAAGAATAAGAAGGTAATTGTCCAAAGAACAACAATAAAAATTTCGGCAAAACCAACAGTTAAGTAACTTAGAGATTAATTCTTCCCATTGAAAGAATATAAAAAAAACCATGGAATTACTAAAGGAATATTGAACTACAACAAGAAATGTTAAAAAGAAGTGAAATTTGATTGTGATCTGCAATATGAGGGTAATTTGGGGTGAAAAATGAAGGAAATAATTTAGTTTTCTATATGGTATCGTGAATTTTTGAAGTGATAAAAAGGAATATACTCATATTTTTAGATGTAGTGTCAATGGGCATTGCCTTTATCAGAGTTTGTACAAACAGCATTGGATATTAAATATTAAATACAAAATTTGCATTTATTCTTAAAGACCCTGTGAAAAGCATTTTTTACCTCTTTGTTCCTAACACTGTATATTAAAGGGTTAAGCATGGGAATCACCAAAGTGTAAAATACAGAGGCCAATTTATCAGTTTCAAAGGAATGGGTGGATTTGGGCTGCACATACATAAAAAGTAGAGACCCATAGAACACCACCACCACTGTGAGATGAGAACCACACGTGGAGAAAGCTTTTTTCCTGCCTTCTGCAGAATGCATTCGACATATGGCTAGCAGAATCAGGAGGTAGGACACTAAAATCACCATGAGGGATGAGAACAAATTAAATGCTGAAAATAATATGATCAATAATTCTATATCCCGTGCATTTGAGCAGAGCATAAGTAACAAGGGCACATCATCACAGTAGAAATGACTGATGACATTAGAGCCACAGAAGGTCAGTATGAAAATCTTAATAGTGATCATCAGAGCCTGAAAGATGCTGTAGAGGTATGGAATGCCCACCAGCACATGACAACGTCTTTGAGACATGATGACATTGTAGAGAAGAGGGTTACAGATGGCCACATAGCGGTCATAGGCCATGGTGGACAAGATGAAAAGTTCACTGATAATGAAAGTAATAAAGAAAGCCATCTGGATGGCACATGCATAGAAGGAAATGGTATTTTGATCAACAAAAAAATTCACCATCATCTTGGGATAAATGACAGTGGAATTGCCAAGGTCAATGAAAGCCAGATGTCTGATAAAAAAATACATAGGTGTGTGCAGATGGGAGTCCAGCTTGGTCAGAATGATCATGCCTAGGTTGCCCACCACTGTGAGTGTGTAGATGAGGAGGAAGACCCCAAAGAGGGGAAACTGCAGCTCAGGCCGCCTGGAGACTCCCGTCAGAATAAATTCGGCCAGCAGTGTTGCATTATGTTGGCCCATTTAGTCCAGATCTCTTTTCCTGGAAGAAACAAAGATATTGTTATCCACATTATTTAGAATCATCCAAACAAATTATAACATTTGTAGACATAACAGAAAAAATATGTATATATAGTGTATATTAATTATTCTGAAAGTTAAGTGAAAGGTGAAACTTTGCAAAGTAGGGATTCTTGTGATCCCTGTTTTGGCATAAAGTCTTAATTGAGTCAGCAACATTTGAAATATAATTATTGGTTATAAAACCATGTAGGCATTAATATAGAAACATTAGTCTTCATATCCTCTATACAATGGAGTCAAATTTTTATTAAGATACTTCCATTTTTATCGGACAATATTTGTGGCATTTTGGTACTTTTAAAGATAGAGGTTAAGAAACATGAAACAAATGAAATTTAAATATCGGGCACCTCATTTGTATTTGAAGGCGAGTTCTATAGTCTTTTCTACGTGAACTCACAGAGATGTATTTTTGTCTAAGTTGCAAAGGCAAGATATGTCAGCCCCAATCAATCAAACTCACTCTCTCTTTCCATTCTGACTTCCACTCTATCATACTTTAACAAATAACATGTTGCATTAATAACATGTTGCAGTTGGACCACAGGCATTTATGGGGTCCAACTAACAGGGAATTGAATAAGGATAATACTGTACATTGTAATTTGTAGGCATATATAAATGGTTAAAAATTTATGACATTAAGCAATGCTATTATCTGATGTACAAATGGTTATTAAAGTATTCCTTTGTGAATATCCTTATAATATAATTAATGAAGTTAATATGTTTACATATTTATATGGTTGTTGAGAAATGGTGTATTCATACTGAACTCTAAGATTCTTTTTCCATTCAAAATAAATATTCAAATGTGTGTAATTTTACTTTTTCTTTGAAGAACATAAATCCTTAATTGAGTAGTATAGGTTTCAAGACACACAATATACAGATATATTCCTTAGCTTAGCTCAATATACATGGGTTTTGATTATTTAGTTTTATATGATTTATTTCACTTTGCATAATATTATAAGATAAGAGGATCTATTAGGAATTTAAGATATATACATATGTCAGCATTTATTATACTGTATAGTAGTAACTACTAAATCATTTATGGAGTTTTATAATGTAATATTTAGAGAGCATAACTCTCTACCTTTAGATATTTTAGTAATAACAATTAATATGAACAGTCAGTAAAAGAATATAGAAGTGCTCTGATTAAAGATGATAAGCATATTCTAGACTAATATCTTAAAATTCTCTTCTTATCACATTCAGAGTCACCTCAATGAAAATGTAGAACTCTGTAACTATGATTTTTGATTTGAGAAAAAAATAGATATCAGCATACACAGGTAAAATGCAAAAGAGAACGAGTACTTAGAAGAGTACAAGTGTCAGCCTGCAAAACTGTCAGGTAAAAACTTCTGGAAATCTACCCAATGGCCCAGGACTGTAGTCTGGAGAAGCTGCCATCCAGAACCACCTGGTGGCATTCTAGTAGCTCTAAGAATCGGCTCATGTTGGGGCTAGGCTGGAGGGTGACCCTGGAGATTGTGGAGTCATTTCCATCCATTCTTCCTGAATGAAGTTTCTGCTCTTTCTGCATTGAGTATCCTCTAGTTTCAGGACCTTTCCTCACTCACAAGTAAGAACAATAAGCTTGTTACCTTTTGAAAATGTTATTTGGATTTTACAGGGTAACAGAGCCTACAATTTTAGGTGTTTATGATGGAATAGAAAATACACTGGATTGAACAAAGAAATTCAGAATTCCAATAACAAAATTAGGAATTTGAAGCTTTAAATAATCTTTTTTTGCTGCTTTAAAAAAACTATATCCATATTCAGTGCCAATTATTACATTCCTCTCAAAATATCTGGATTCCTTTGCTTTACCCAGGCTTCTTCCTGCAAGAACATCTCTAATCTCCTCTGAATATCCTGATATATTTTTATTATCTCTACATCAGGCTAACCATTAGAATGCAAAAGGTAGGGAGAGGACTGACTGATTGTCCAATCTTTATTCATGTTCATAGCAAGAATTATTAGGGATTCAGGAGTTTCTCCATAACTTCATAACTCTCACAAATCATTCTATTTCTTTTCATCTACACAATGTTTGGAATTTTCAGTATGGGAAGAAAAAATAGCAGGCTCTGAAGTAAGAAAACTTGTGTAAACAATAGTTCAAATAGTTGACTACATCCTTTGCACATTCACACTCAGGGTAACATTAAATAAAACTTAATTCGCATTTGATGAAATATTCCTATAGAAAAGCTCATCTTAAAATGTTCTTTTGTAAAATATGTGTTTTTATGTATTTACATTAAAATGGCTTTTTATTTATCAAATATTTTGTAGCATATACAGTAAATGTTATTTTTCATTTATCTAAAATCAAATGAAATTGGACATCCAAGATTTTATCTGGGAATTCTAATCTTATAAAGATTCCAATTGATGAGATCAGTGTTGGATTTTTTTTTTTAATTTCCTATCTTACTTTTCACTTGTAATATCTGAATATCACATTGAAATCTCACAAATAAAATAGTTCTAGGACATTTCTTTGAGTCCATAGAATTTGGTTACCTGAAAACAATTGATTCATCCAAGGGATAGCAGTAAACAAGAAAGATTGATTTTTTTTTTTTTTTGTAGTGAATTGAAACGAATCAGCTTTCATTGATCATACCATCAGAATCTGGGAGTAATAGAAAATTACCAAACCCAGGTGATTATGCAAGTCCATAAAAATTCTTACACACTCACCTTCAATGAAGAATAGGATTTCTTTCTCCTAAATAACCTATTTTTCTTGGCATACAAAGAATTTATGGTTTTCTCCCTTAGTTGTGACATTCCCTGAGGAAATAGCTTGCAATGTGTTCAGTTCATTATACTCAAATTATCTGAGTGACTCAATAAAAAAAAAATAGCATTGAAGTCACTTCTACTTGTTCCCCAGTGATAAAGTGTAGGAGAAAAATCCCAGAAAGGAGAAAAACAACATATTAATCTGAATGATTCCCTGGAGAGTTTACAGTCTTGAAGACACTCATTTACCTACTTTCTTAGAATATAATATGAAATAATGGAAAGTACTTTGAAACCAGCTTCATCCCTGCAAAATAGAACAATTCCAAAGCCATTGTGAAATTACCACTATCACATAGGTATTTTTCCTTCAATTTATTTTTAAAATTAAAATATATAGCAGAAGCAGAGTTAAAAATGTGCAATTTAGCCCTTTCATGTGAGCTAGAGATTACCATTGCCATACAGAGAAGACACCAAAAGGAAATAAACTATAATTTTCTTTAATTTACATATATTGAGACTGAAAGTTTTGAAAATAAATCTTAATTTATTTCTATATGCTTGATAGATGTACATTTTCCTTTATTTTCTCAAAACTGTAACAGTTGTTGTTATGCAATGGTTTTTACTATGCTGTCTACCCAACAGTGGTATTTTCTGAGCTGCAATTTCACCACTGTTGGAAAAAACACAGTCATGTTGAGAGTGAAATCTACTACAGAACAGTATCACTTATATCTCACACCATTTATGCTTTCTTTTTATGGTTTCTCCTCATTGACTTTCATATTTGTAAGAATTTATACACAGTGAAACTCGGAACTTTTTTGAACAAAATTATGATTTAAAATCTATTATTAGATATATTAATACTGGATTGAAGATAATAGATTCATTTTAAATGCCAAATAGTTTTCTTTGGTGCTTTTTAACACCCACCACAGGCCTTCCATCATAGGGAAATTTCCACATACCTTACCCTCATGTATCCTGCCATCCTCATGCAACTGTTGTTCTGAATTTTATTCCCAGATTATTTTCCCTGCAGAAATCATATGCAGATACAATTTGACACTTGGGGATATAAGGAATTTTGTAATCATGGAGTATTTTAGTGAATCAAAATTATTTCTTATTCTAATAATAATAATATTTAAAATTCATACCGAAAATCTTTAATATTTCCTTAGGCTCATGTTTTCAAAAACTCTTTTATTTTTGAAAGAGAGAGAGAGAGAGAGAGAGAGAGAGAGAGAGAGAGAGAGAGAGAGAGAGAGAGAGAGAGAGAGAACTTTTTTTTAATATTTATTTTTCAGTTTTCGGTGGACACAACATCTTCATTTTATTTTTATGTGGTGCTGAGGATAAAACCCAGCTCCCCATGATGCCAGTCCAGAGCGTTACCGCTTGAGCCACATCCCCAGCCCCTTCAAAAACTCTTTAAATGATAAGTTGTGTAGGTGAATTGGCAAACTATATTTTATTGAGGTTGACACGTTTCTGAGTTTTTTGGTGTTCCTTCCAATGCTCAGTGTATTGCACATCTCTGAAGAGGGTGATGTTTTTCTTATTTTGGTCTATGTGAATGGCATACACCAGAATAACATGTTGCCCAACCTTCACAATTCCATATGTGTTTTTTGTCTTTCCCCATGAGAGCATTTAAGAGTGCTTTATTCATGCATTCAATGAACCATTTCACAAATGCTGACTCAAGGAAGATGGCTTAATTGAACAACAAAAAATGTAAGATTGGGGGTTCTGATAGCTTTTGTTTTCATTAGTTCAGTAGCTTGACAATATCAGAGTCAGTATGTTTTGTTGGACATTCATTGTCTTATGCTTGAATTAATATTCCTAACTTATGAAACTAACATGAAATGGTATGAGTCGGAGAAGCAAAAGTTTATGGGAATAAATGTTTCTTTGAGGGACTTTGCTTCTTCTGAGATGTACTGTATCTTCTCATTATCCTTACAGACTTCCAATGACAAATCATTAGCAATTTGCCATTTTCATAAAAATTCTGCTTTTTTTCACTTTTTTATCAAAGATTGATGAACTTCTTGGGACACTAATAATGGAACCATTCTCTTTATTTCTTTTGTAGGATGCTCTTAATTCATGTTAATGTGTGCTTCTTAGCCACCATAATTTATTTCAAATCTGCTCAATCTATGACCCACATTACTCTACTTTGTGACCAATTTCTATTTGATCAAATATCAAAGAAATGACTGATGACCTTGTAGCCACAGAGGATAAAGTGAAAGTGTTTATGGGGACCAGGAGAAACATTAAAGTGTAGGAGAGCTAAGGGATTGTTAACAGCATCTGAGACACCTTAGTGCCAAAATGACTGTGTAGAGAAGAAGGTTAAAAATTGTCTCATGGGATATCCTTTAGATTAAAATATTCACTAATAATGAAAAAAAGAAAGAAATCTTGCTGAGAAACACAAAAATAATATATTTTTTGATTCATAAAAAATTACTAACATTTTGGTTCACACAATTATAGAATAATAAGCATCAATGAAAAATAGGTGTCAGAGAAAATATGTAGGTGTATGTTGTTAGCTCAAAATCCATCTTGGTGAGGGTGATTATGTCTAAGCTGTCCAGCACTGAACAGATGTCTACAATTCAGGACAGTGCATGATGAACATTAGAATGAATATTTTAACCATTGTTAGATGGTCACATTACATGCATGTTTACCCAAAAAAACTATCTGGATAGAGATATCAGCATAGGCAATAGATTTCATGTACTATTAACTTGGAGATTGTTTTAACATGAACACATATAATAAATAAATTACATGTAGTTTCCAGTGTATGATATTTGAAAATAATACCATTTCTCACTAAAGATGCATTAATACAATAAAAGAGGGAGGCATAAATATAACAATGAATTTTACCTAGGGTATAATTTTATACCAATAATGTAACTTTTGCCCTGTTGGTATATAATATTTAGAAGATAGCTATGCTTTTAAACAACCTATTATTCCCAACATCTGAATATAATATCCAAACCAAATTGTCAACCATACTAAGATGAGTAATCTTGAAAAGAATGATAATAGATAAGCAGATATTATATATATATATATATATAGTAAATAAAAGAAGAATTTTTACACTATGAAAACTGAGAAATCATATATGGAGAATTAAAATAAAATTTGTAAATGGTTTTTCTGTGTCATACAAAAACCATATGTGCAAAATGCCATTTGATTATTGCATTCTCTTTTTTTCAGCAGCCAACTATACTATTATTGTAAATATTTGCAATACATAGCTTAATCTCAAAATCAAGATTTATGGTGCAAATACAGATAAACAAAGAAAATTTTATTACATATAACAGAAAAAATAGCAATATGCAAAAAAATTATTAAATATAATTAAGTATAATTGATTTAAATTCTCCAATTAAAAGTCATTATTTCCAGAATAAATATTTTTAAAACAATATTATGCAATATGCCTCTAAAATAACCATGCCATCTAAAAGAGAATCACTTTTTCATTGTGTTGTTTTAATTTAGGCAAAGAAAGCATATTACAGTAATAACAGGCTAAGGAAGAAACTACATTAAACAGTAATTGATTTAAAGAAAAATATAGTTTACTTATGAAATACATATTTTAAAAAGTATTTAGAAAAATGCAAAGTTCTGTGGAATAACAAACCAATCAACCATGAAGCATTAAATCACAAGAGACAAATGATAGAAAGTTAGAATTTATTGAGATCTTATATGGGAGAAGCAAATTGGTACATATAAGGGAAGTAATATATGTTATAATTAGACTTTGCTTTGGGGACAAATGGAATCCAATTATTTCATGAGAAGCATTGTTATGTGATGGGTGCCTTTTTTGTGCTTTATTATAAAAATATTCCACAGTGAGCATCAAAAACACACCTTGCAGTGATTTTTGAGTACCCTCTGGAAGGCATTATTCACCTCTTTGTTCCTTAGACTATAGATCAAGGGGTTAAGCATTGGGATAACTAATGTGTAAAATACAGAAGCCAGTTTATCAGTTTCATAGGAGTGGCTGGATTTGGGCTGCACATACATAAAAAGTAGAGACCCATAGAACACCACTACCACTGTGAGATGAGAGCCACACGTGGAGAAAGCTTTTTTCCTGCCTTCTGCAGAATGCATTCGAAATATGGCTAACAGAATCAGAAGGTAGGACACTAGGACTACCAGGAGAGAGGAGATCAAATTAAATGCTGAAAATAGTATCATTAACAATTCTGTTTCCTGTGCATCTGAGCAGATCATAGGTAACAATGGAACAACATCACAGTAGAAATGACTGATGACCTTAGAGCCACAGAAGGTCGATGTGAAATACTTTACAGGGAACAAGAGAGCCTGAAAGGTGCTATAGAGGTATGTGATGCCCACCAGCACATGACAGAGTCTCTGAGACATGATAACATTGTAGAGCAGAGGGTTGCAGATGGCCACGTATCGGTCGTAGGCCATGACAGACAAAATGGAAAGTTCACTGATGATGAACAAAATAAAACAAGCCATCTGGGTGGCACATGCATAGAAGGAAATGATATTTTGATCAACAAAAAAATTCACCATCATCTTGGGACAAATGACAGTGGAATTGCCAAGGTCAATGAAAGCCAGGTGTCTGATAAAAAAATACATAGGTGTGTGCAGACGGGAATCCAGCTTGGTCAGTATGATCATGCCTAGGTTGCCCATCACTGTGATTGTGTAGATGAGGAGGAAGACCCCAAAGAGGGGAAGCTGCAGCTCAGGCCGCCTGGAGACTCCTGTCAGAATGAATTCAGTCAGCAGTGTTGCATTCTGTTGGCCCATTTAGTCCAGGTTTCTTCTTCCCTCCTGGAAACAAGACAGTTTATTCACTTCTTTTAGTGAGTATCATCTAAAATAATTATAATACTTATATAAAGAATGGGGATATCTATTCATACTATGGGAAAGAAAAATTATTTCTGTGTGTGACTTCCAAATAAGCACAAATAATAGAAACTTCTGCCTCCCCAGAGAAACAATTCCTTTGGAACACATAAATTTTATGACCTAAATTAAACACCCCAAACAGTCAATGATATTTGGAGCACAGCATTTGAAATCAGAGCCATATCGGTACTGATGAAGATTCAATTTTTTTTCTTCTAGAAAATGACCCCAAAATGTTTTTTTAGTAAACACTCATTTTTATCTCAGAGTTTTCATGAAATTTTTATATTGCTAAAAAGAGCGGGAGAGCCAAGATGAGTGTCATAGTCCTTAAATTTTGGGACTCCATATCTGTACTTCCAAGTTCTGGAGAAGGCCTAGAAATGCACTTACAAGATGTTATTTCTGTGTGAATGTTGTAAATGTAAGGGAATGAGCCATGACCATTCATTTCACTTTCTCTTTAAATTCCAACAGCTTCTCCACGGCTCTTCCATTAATACGGCAGAAGATTAGTTAGGTCCAACTAAGGAAAGACTGAGTTAATTAAAATGTATTTGAGACTCACTCAGTATAGTTATGCGGTTCCAAGTCAATGATATTTTTATTGAATAATCTTTCCCATTATGACATAATTATAGCTCTAATGAATACACCTCCTACTCAGTATCTGAAAACTGTTTGCAGTTTCATTAACAGAATTGTTATAAATGATTATGTATTCCATGATACTTTTGACTTCTAGTTTAATGAAAACTGGTATTTTAAAATTATTTTTTATATTCTATATTTACATTCATTTCTCAACTTGCAGGTATGTTTTTATTTCCTTTTTGAAAAGTAAAGCTCCAAATTTGCATAAACTTAAATAAACATATGATCTGTACCTACTCCTGTGAAAATATGTGGCTTATATTATTGATAGATTTCAAGAATTTAATTCAATATATGACTTTAATTAATATAACACCAGAGAAATGGAAAAATAGATGATTTATATTATTCAACAACTTTGAATTTTCCTTTCCATCTGGTTTGCTTCCTTGAATATAATTTGGAGACTACTCATTGCACACACACACATGAAGTATTTACTTGAACATTTATTCAGTATTTACTACTGTCAAATTTCCTGGAATTTCATGAAGCATTATTTACAGAGAATTTGATGTGCATTTCAAATATTTCAGTAATAATTATTTCACCATTAATTTTATATATTTACATGAAGGGTCAGTAAAATACACTCTGCTTAAAAGTAATGCCTGATTTATTGGTTTTGACTGATTGTCTTGGATTCCCTTCCTACCACCTTCACTTTTTCTGCAGAAAAAAAAAAAAAACTTGGAACTCTCTAAGCATGAGTTTTAATTGGACAAGAGACTGGAGTTAAAAATAAATCAGTGAAATAAAATGCAGGAGAGAGTTATTATGTAATCATATGGCAACTTTACCTTTTTCAGCTATGAGGCAGTAACTTCTGGGAGCTCACCAGGATGCTCAAACCCACAGCTTGGAGCAGATACAGTGAAGAGCCAATGTGTATCTATTGCAGCAGTTTTAGGAACTGGTCACTACAGGTGCCCCTTTGGCTTTCTGATTCAAGAACTCAGGACTGGAAAGGAGGGTGATGCTACAGATCACTGAACTGGGTCTAATCCTTCTTCCAGGATGAAGTAGTCTGTTGTTGTCTCCATTAAGGTCCACTCTTGTTTCAAGTCCACTCTTTGTCCACGAATATGAATTATACACAACTTTATTCTGAATATGAAATTGTGTGAGACTTGTCATAGGGATTTAAGATAGAAGATATGATGCAGTGGATGGAGAATGGATTCAGAATTCCTGTTATCAATTCTACTATCTTGAAATATTCAGTGTATTGCTAAAAATTATCATACTTCTAAAATTTAGAATAGTTCATGGACTTAGCACCCTAAAACACCATAGTACTCCATGGAAACCCAATTAGCAAAGATAATAATGATTTTTGTGGTATATTTGAAGCAATTGTCTGTCAATTGCCCTATGATTGTCTATGTCTATGAGATATTATCCATGAGAGCAAGGTCAAAGACAATTATTTTCCACTCACCTTTACTGAATAATCAATTTATTTTGTTCTCATGTTATGCATTTATTTTTCCTAGGTGGGAGAAATTTATGGTTTTCCTCCCTCTCTAGGATGCTCCCTGTGGAAGTAGCATCTAATTCATGCAGATCATTATGCCTAAATCTTTGGAGAGATTTAAAAATCTGCCTTGATATGTCTTATAAGTATCCAGGGATCCCTACATTTTCTCTAGTGAGAAAAGGTATGGGGCAACTCATGCAAAGGAACAAAACCAAAATAAATGATCTGTACAATTCTTTAGAGGCCTATATGATCTAATGGCACAGAATTACACACACTGAGTTAACATTTAAGGTAGCAGTTCACAAGCTCAGAAAATACTATGTAGTTGGAAAGTGATTGTAGTAGCACACTTCTTTAAAACAACTGCAATGTAATTGCAATATCCAACCACTGTTGGATAATATTCCATGTCTCCTTAACAAGGTACAAACTACTGTTAATGGACACCATTTCTAACTATTTGTATCAATGTCCTTTTCTTTTATGATTTCTGTATTAAGAAAAAATTATATATATAGAAATAGGGAACTGAAGTGTACAGATTAATGAATCTTTTTAAAAATATTTTCATTTATGCCTATAAACTAATGCTTAAATCAAGATAGAGAATATTTTCAATACCGAAGGAAATTCTTTCATGTGTTGAACCTTGATAACTCACATCCATCATTAGAAATTGTTTCTCATGCTTTAAGCCCAAACAACATTTTCTCAGTTCCAGGCTACTAAACCCTCCCTACAGACTTTTCTTCTGGTCTTGAATTTCACAAATGTGGAATAGCAATCTTGATTTGGTTTCTTTCACTCAGCATATTGCTTTGAAATTCATCCATATTATGTTCACTCTATTGATACAGATCTTCCCATTGCTTTCCCAGTCTTCTGTTGGTGCTTATGTGAATTTTGGGTCTTTATGAAAAAATCTACTTTAAATGTTCTATGCAAGTATGTTTGTTGACACAAGCGTAGTTTTCTTGGCTGTAGATCCAAAAGTTGAATAACTGGATCCTTCTCCTGAGATCTTTAGAAGAAATGTGAGATTTTCACATTTATTCTAACACATTTTGTTACCAACAGGTATACATCAAAGGGTTATTTTTCCCATCACCACCAATAATAAGTGTTGAAAGATGTTTTATTTTTAATTTTCAATTTTAAAACTAGAAATAAGAATTGGCACAAAATGCTATCTCATTGTAATTTTAATTTTTACTTATGTGATAACTATTGATAAATGAACATCTTTCCATATTTCCATGTTGATTATTTATTTATCTGCACTTATAAAATTTCTAAACTTTAGTCCATTTTTAAATAGGGTTGGAATTCTTTTATTGCGATGTTTATATGTGTTTTAGATTAAATTAGTTGTCTAGATTTCATTATAGATGTCATTTTTCTGTTCATATTTATTTCTTTTTTTCAGCATCCTTCAATGCTATATAGCATAGCTATTTGTATCACCAGTATCAGAGAAAACAGCCTCACATCCATGACTTCCTCATACAAAAGATAAATTTTGATGCATGGGATTGGGGAGGTAGGAGAAGCCAGAAATTTAATGAAGCCATATGCCAAGGTCCAGGTTCACAGAATCTTCTCAAGAATAGAAGGATTCTGAAGAAATAAGAACCAGGCTCTGTTCTCACATAACGCCTTGATTTAATTGTCTTGTACATTTGTGTATCATGAAATTATGGATTCTATCTTGGATATTGTATTTTTTTTTTTGAAAAGTGTGAATGTTGGTATCTTTGGGAATTTTGGTTTCTATTTGTTTAGTAAGTTTAAGAAATAGTTAGTATAATTTGACTCAAAATGTGAACTCTGAGCTACAGGTTGCAATATAAATATCCATTCATATTTAACCTTCTCTGTACTGTTGTGTCTACTCTTATCTGCACATTTCACAGTTAACAAATTAGAGTTTGAACACAGAACACATATTTTCATCATTCTGATTATCTTTTCTGGGATGTATTCAAACTTTCCTTGGGCTGTGTTTGTTACAAACTTTGCTTCATGTTCATTAGTTCTGAAAGACTGGAGTTTATATCAGATTGCTATCAAGTTGTCAAGACTAGGCATTCCTTCAAACTACAAGAAGTAAAACTGAGAAAATTACAAACTGCCTCTAGTAAGTTCAAGCTATTTTTCTATGGTATTTATTGTTTAAAACTGGTGCGGTAGTTTGTCTTATCATCACTTATTTGATACTTACCAGAAAGATCATAAAGTCATATCTTTCTTTTCATTTCTAACACTTTTGTTCAGATGACAAAAAATCATATTTTTAATAATAAACATATTGTTCCATGTTATTCTGACTTACCACTTTTATTGCAAAGTCTTAATACATTCTTATTTTTTATTTCATCTTCTGAAATAATTTATTTCACATATACCTTACAAATTTTGTAATTTTTAACCCATTTGTCTTTCTCTCTGTACTTGACATGTGCTGGTTTCTATTGTCTTGTGTTCAAAGTTACTATTTTCCCTGGGCACTGTCAAATCTGCTCTTAAAAAATAAACAATGGATTTTTTTTTTTGCCAACAGTACTTTTAGCCCTAATAATCCATGTTTTCCTTATAATTTCTATGTCTCTTTCTAATATCCATGTTTACATTGAAGTTCTTGGAAGTAAGTGTTTTAAAGTTCTTTTCTGCTGTATCTACCATTTCTATTATTATGGTTTTATTTCTGGTAATTGATTTTTCTTACAATTATGGATAATATTTTCCTACTTTTCCAACA